TAACTAAGTCATTTAATTTCACCTTTCACTTAACCTATTATTTAGAATCACACAGACTGAGGTTACAACCCCACTGTGAAAGAATAACATTATTCAAAAGAATTTGTTTGTTGCCAAATGTTGACAGGCCAAATTGCACGTGATAGACATGTTTATCAATAACACAAACTCCTTATACAATTGTCCATTTTAAGTCTCTTATTCATCAAAAAAAAAATAATAATAATAATAATAATAATAATAATAAATAAATAAAATTGAGGAGGAAATGGTCTTTGATAAAAAGACACTAGGAATTGATGGATGGCTTGCAAAGGGCCCCACATTTGGATTCAAGCATCGATTTTTCTCCAAATAAATTGTGACAAGACATGAGCATACTTATCTTCTAGAAAGTCAAATATTTTAACTTCTGGGAAATCATTCTTCTAGAAAATAAGGTAAAAAGCAATATTATAAAATCGATGTAATATGATTTTAATAACATTAATAAAAATAAAAAATCCATTACAATGCGGACTCAAAACAGTAAGTGGTTAGAAAAATTGATACATCATTGTTATATTCGTTTTACAATTTTCAAATCGTTTTCTGTTATCGATTTTTCAAAACAGTGAAAACGCATTTTTGAAAACAAGTTAAAAATTTACAAAGAAAACACATCAAGCCAAAATTTTCAAAACGCATTTTGGGTGTTTTCAAAACAAATTTCAAAATGTCAAAAAGAACACATTTTCAACAATCTCAAAATAGACACTCAAAACACAAAATCCAAAATGAATTCAAAACTCAAACACAAAACTGAAATATAAAGAGAACAGCCCCTAAGATTTCGCCTACCTATTTCCCAATTGTTTGGTGAGAATTAAAATTAAATTTTTATAAATGTTGATGAAATGTGTGGTTGAAAAGTTGTAGACTCCATATAGTATATAGTTAAAATTAATTGTTGACTTTAACTTATATTAAAATTTTAATTTTAATTTTCACCAAACATGGTACATTTCATCAACTTTAATAAAAAATTGACGAAAAATCTTATTTTAATCTCCATCAGGACTTCCACTTAATAATGGATTTTTCTAGTATTCCACTTCTTCTTTCTTGACTTGGTGCAAGTATACTTTGGAAAAAGGAAAAAAAAAAAAACAATTATAGAAAAATAGAAATATTTTTCGTCCTCAATGCATTAACCTTTTTATCAACGCGCTATTTTAAAATGGTGGAATTGACTAGTTGTATATGAGGAAAAGTTGTGAATTAAAGTTTCATATCGACTAGACATAAAGATTATTTTAGAAAGAAAATTTAATTACTCCTCCAACATATCAACTTTTTTGGTACGGAATATATTAGGGTTGCACCCTATACATAACTATTTTATTGAACGAGATGAATTTTTGAACTTACGTCCAAGATCTAAATGAAGGTATTGATCTCGGTTAATCGTGATGGTCAGAGAAAAACATGTGATTGGCGCTCAAAGCATTGGTGTTCACATAAGGTGGTGGTCCCTAACACCTTAAAGCCAAGTATCTATTTTATAGCCGTTCATATCTTTCTTAGGCTACATCGAATCAGAATCGAAGCAGTTAAAAAAATATTAAGTAAATGATTTTTTATTATATTATTGGATTGATTTTCAACTTTGCTTATTAAATGGGTTATAAATCGATCTAATCTGATTTTAACAACGTATGTAAAAATACACTATTTTTCTCTCCCTTGCTCACCCCTCCCGATAATCAAAAGGCAAACAAATCCATTACAATGTGGTCTCGAAACAGTAAAAAGTAGGTAACTTGAGGGACTATTACAATTATACAAATTAAGATTTCCACTAAATTGTGCATTTTCTAGTCTTCCACTTCCTGATAGTTGGAAATATTTTCCATTTTTTTTTCCATGATGTGATGCAAGTTTTCTTTGGAAAATACCAACCGTAGAAAAATAGAATTTTTCTGGTCCTTAATTCGTTGACTTCTTTATCGACGCGCTTTTCTAAAACAGTGAAGTCGATTAGTCGTATAGGAAAAAAAATGCGACTAAAAGTTCCATATCGACTAGACATGAAGATAAGTTTATAAAGGAAATATATATAGTTACTCCTCAACCTTATGGATGGGACATTAGTTTCAACTAAGCCCCTGTTTTAAAAATATGGAAAAGTCATAAAAGCTGAAGAAATGTACACAGCTCTGAATTGAAAATGTCAGTGGGTCCCATTAGCCTACCATTTTTGACTCAAGAAAATGTAATGTAATTTGCAGAAATGGGGGGCAAACAGGGGCTAAATATATTAGGGTCGTGCCCTACACTTTAATTATATGGATGAAGAAGATGAATTTTGAACATGTTCTGAAGATCCAAACAAAGGTGTAGATCTTGAATGATCACGACAATGGTAGAAAAATATGTGATTGGCTCTCAAAGCGCTTGTGTGACCTTGATAGAGTTGATTTTGATGGCACATGTGATCATTCCATATTTGGAGAAGATAGAAAGATGATTATCAACGACGACTTAAATGATGTGATGTTTCATTCAAATGGGGATTGATGAAGAAGTTTGAAAAAATTCCACATAGCTATACAAAGGATAATTTTGCATATACAAGAAACCTGCTTTTTCCTCGAAATAAGTTAAAGAATAATGCTTCTTGTACATCACCCCTTACACAAGGGGTGACATAATGATCAAGTGGCGCCTCTTCATTGGAGGGGTGCCAAGACCCCACAAGAATAAGTTAAAAAATAATGCTTCTTGTACATTACCTCTTACACAAGGGGTGACATAATGGTCAAGTCGCGCGTCATCCCTTGTGTAAGGAGTGATGTATCCATGGCAAGTTACAAATTAGACCACCTGGCCATGAGGTGTTGGGAATTTACTTATCATGA